GCACAAAACAGTAGATAGCGCTCGGAGGGTGTGTATCGATCTGATAGCGGAGAAAGCACCCTTGTCCTTGTCACACACCCTCTACATAAGTTCACCGCTCTGCTTTATCTCTAAAACACATTTGGCGAAAGGCTGTTGCACTTGTACGGCATCGATGCATCTACATAAACGTTTCTTAACGTGTGCATTGCACAAGAACAACTGACATTACTCGTTAAAAAAAAAAAAAAACTATAAATTAATTATAAAAATTTTTCACTCGGAGCCATCACGAGCGTCATTAGAATATCACCTAAATGAGTCAACAGTTCGAAATACTTGATAAAAATTAGTCCGATTCTGGTAATTATGCGATTCGTATCGATGGGTAAACGAACATTTATGTTCTATTATTTTAATGGCAGCAAACAAAAAAGAAGATGTCAAAACGAAAGTAAACAAAACACATGTGTATCATTTATAAAATTACCAAAAGTTCAAAACTTTTCTAAACTATAACAATTTAACGAGTGTCGTGACATACTAACCAACAAAATAATCTGACACATTGTACGTTTTTTTCATTATGTGGTGTAGGTTGTGTTAATCATATTGCTGTTGATTTCAATTGATACGCGATTTTAAGTAAACGACGATTAAATGCGTAGTACACTCTTATTGCAAAACCAGCAAATACTTTACCAGAAATGTTCTCAGTTTGAGAAATAAGTCGCACATACACGTGGGTATTGTTTGCTACTAACAACGTGTAAAATACCATAAAAATATTTAAATGGATGCCTACGTATGGCTTACCACAACGTAAACGATAATGTAACACGCGTGAACGTAAATTATTTATAATTCTTGTGAAAATCTCATAGTTTTTTTCCTCGAGTAATAAACAATCTGCTGACGAGTAACGGCTCCAACCACTTGGGCATTCAGTTAAACGCGTCGTGCTGTGTATTTTAAAAAAACGCGCAGAGGAAATGGATTCGTTGGACGGGAATCATTATAGGCGGCCCGCTACTCATCTATCCGGTATCTCTAACAATACGTACACGAAGCGTAAAGTTTTTTCCATGATGTGATTTCTCGTTTCTATTATATTATAGAGCTATAAAAAAAAATTACAGTTGTTGCGAACGGAATGCCGGAAAAGTAATTCGATTGCGGCAATAGGTAAACATTACAATTTATCGTAGGAATCGATTGATTTTTCCCTCGACTAAGTCGACAGCATAAAAAATATTACGCTTTACAAGTATTATATGCTATCCGATACTCTAATTACTGTGTTTATGAGCAGTAAACAATAATTCAAAACAACATTGAATCATTTGCTACTTTATAGTCTAAAATGAATATCATGATATGACCACGTCAAAAACACACACACTCGATAACAGCATTATTTCAACATTAATGATAAAACGACTTTTAACTTATGAATGGTTAAATAGATATATTTGATAGGACACCAACCAACTGTATGTATATCGTTCGTTTTTCAATAAAACGTAATATTCATAAAAAATATTTTACAACGTATGTGTAAATTCAACAGGCTATAAAATGTTATAAAATAAAGTTTTAAGTGATCAATTTGTAACCATTTCGTTTTGTTCTATTAGAATTATAAAAACTGATAAATTAGTAATTTTAACGGGTTCACTCGTGAACACAACACATATTATATAATCTTCTTCGAAATATCAATTGGCACCGACATAAGTAAATTTTATTGGTTTTTGAGAACATTCTAAATTTGATTATCGCCGTTGGTGTGTAAACATTGTTACAATTCATTTTGTAAAAAGTTAGAAACTATTCAAGGTAATCGTTTAATATCAAGATGAGTAAAGTCGAGTCACACCATAGATATACAATTTTGAGGGCGGAATATGCATAAAAATTGTGTTTGGCGACCTTAAGCAGTGAGGTGATTGTTTACAAAAATAATATTATACACTGCCGTTGTTGGAACTCATAAGAAAATTGTCAACTATTTAAAAGCCGACTATATAAATTAATTATATCGTAATGACATAGAGTAACAATCAATTAACAAATAACATTAATTATTTTAATACTATAATACAGTACACAAGCGTATTACGATTTAATTTTTTATAATCTACGTAATTAGAACTATATTATTATCACAATTGAATATTGATAACATAACACAATAAACATTGACCCACACTGCCGCCAAGCCAAACTTCATGGAAAAAATTTAATTCGGCTGTTTAGTATTGTATATCTATAATTTACACACAGTACCTATTTAGGGTACATAGTAATTACCCTAAATAAACTACGGAATACTTTAGGTATATACTATATACCTAAAGTGTTTGCATAGCCAATCGTTAAGTTACTTAATGATAGAATACGATAGACATTTCTTAAGTAATAAAAAATAAAAAGTAAAATTCTGTGACGCACATTACGTTATATTACAACGATAATTACTTTCATTTTTTTTTCGTTTCTCACTCAAGACTGCCGTAAGTTTCATGTATTTTATGTAAAATAAGCGTGATCGAATAAAATGAACACTAATTTAGTTTCATTGCTTGGTTTATTTTTTCTAGTATATAAAAGTTCAAACATTAACTTAGTCCTTATACAACAGTTACGACACACACATCCCAATAAGTATTGTATTTTAAATAGGTAACAGGCTACTCATATTTAGGTATCAAAAATAATCTTAATAATAAGTATTATATTTAATTCGTGTTTTATATGAATTAACTTGGAAAAGTACAGACAAGCATTGCGCTACATAACTTTTTTTTTTTTTTGCTACACGAGAATAACAGACTTTATAGAACTAATTTATATTATTATATTGACAATATCTATAAAATGTGTTAATCGTGATCTAACGTTTAAATAACTTTTTAATTAATTTTTTAAAATTTAATTGTACGATCATATTTGCTTTGTAAAATGATTAGTAATGCTAACCAATATTAAATAAGCAACACAATTCTAAACAATATTAAATTTTTTTTTGTAATTTTTAGCAGTTGAATTGACAAAATTACAACGACATTGAATACATAAAATGATAAAAACTTAAATAATCTCGCAAAAGTGCAATTTTAACAACTTTAATAATAAAATCGAACACAAGCAACTGCTATTCGATACATTTATGATGCGCGTTGACCTCGGTAAGAGGCACGTTAGAGTCGTGTAGCACAAACAGTCGCCGCCAATAGTTGACTTCCAATTGCAAGGTCGTCTCGTATACGATGTTAGTATCACACAAGTAATCATCTAGTGACCACGCTAAAAAATATCAAACTGTAATTCTTCTACGGAAATCGATACACAGACATGACTACGATATACTTATGAAATGTAAATACATTTTGTCCCTTGAAGGGCGTGGCAAGTGGGGCTTTTGTCCAAAGCTCGATGTTCTAAACGATTTCCGGCACCGATTCATTACATCAATTGTTAAAACTAACAACGTATGAACGCGTTTATTAAAAAATAACTTTACAACAACAATATGGTACATAGACACATCGAAGAATAGTTGCTTAATGGTATTTAATAATTTTAGAAAATATTGTAAAAATCAATAATTATAATTCATCCAATTAAATATATATTTAGTCTTGATGAATTAACGAAAAAAAAAATTAAAATCCTATAATATTCGATTTGTTCTGTACAATGTGATGTGAAAACTGTTTGGTCTTGACAAAAATGTATAACCTCATAATCGATTAAAATATATGGCGTAGCCAGCGAGGCGAGGGGGTCCGCCCCCACATTGCAAGCAACATTCATCTCCAAAATGAAGTGATGAGCAAAAAAAAAAGTTCCAAAATATGAAATGTTGTAGATTCTTTTACATTGGCCCTCCTATTATGAAATCCTAGCTATGCCACTGATTAAAATTTAATTATACAATTCAGTAAATTTAAGGATTGATCGTATTAATTACACTACAACTTAAGGATACTTGAACGGTGTTGATCGATTATAGCCACTGAGACAAAAGGGCTGTATGTTGGTATATATTGTAGTTAGTTCATTTCTGACGCTTTCTTGCACATTAACCACTGATCAATTTTCTATTCAGAAGAATGAGGAAGTTCTTCGAAAATATAATAAATGTCTAACTGCATTTATTCCATTTACATAAATCAATAATAAATACCATAAATGAAAAAACGTTTTATTTGATTTAAGTTTTTAAATTCTAATCGTATTATACAATCATTGTAAGTTTGAGCATCTGTTTAAAAATAAATAATTATTAATTTAATTCCGATATATACTCAATATCTATGATAAAAGACTGATAACTGACCGTGTTTATTTTAGTAGCATATCAGTTTAAATACATTTTATGACAATTATAATAAAACTGTTACGAACACCTAAATAGACTGTTAAGTATAGTTATGATTATGTTATTCAGAAGTAGACTGCAGGTTTTTATAAACTGTCTTGCATATTCACTTAAACCACAGTTGTTAATTAAAATATTTACGTATAATTTCTATATTTCACTAAATTTACGGTATTTCGATAATGTAAAATACAAATAAAAATGCAAGTTCAATAAACAATTAATTTAATATTTCAATGATTTTCGATCAATACAAGTAAAATATGTCTTTTAAATTGAAACCTAAAGTCAATATTGAAGTGCACATTTGTTAAGCAGAATAATTTACTCAGATTAATTTCATCATTGATGATTTAATTATTACCATGATTTGCGATGACTTATAAAACATTAATTTATAATAATTTCGTATAACACCTATCTTCGTTCATCTTATTATTTTTTGATCTTAACAGATAAGTTTACGAGCAATACAATGTCAGTTAAAGTAATGATAGCTGCTTTATTATTTAATTTACTTATTGATTTAAAATCGAATTCGTGTATCAAATAAACTAGAATCCAAATAAAAATTCCTTATTTTGTTTGGAAACTTTCTAGTAATCTTAAAATTAGGTAATAATTTAACAAATACCTCTTAAATTAAATTGATGACGTCGTTGCACGTTATCGTTGTCCAAAATTCATTCAATATACAAATAAGGTCCTAGGTCAATCCTAAAAACAAATGCAAATTAGATAACGTAGTAATAGCAAAAATTATATGGGCTTACAAGGCATACAAACACAATAGTATAATTATGTTGCGCAACACGCGCGTTTAAAGACGATCACACAAGCTAATATAATAATAATAATAGAAAAAATGGATTATCAAATAAAAATGAATTAATGAAATTAAGCCTGTATGACTTTTTCTAATGTAAAATAATTATGATTAGGTTAATGGTGTGCAATAAAAACCCCTGCCAACTATGGAAAATAGTTTTCTTTTTTATAAAGGGCTCAATGAGTATGTAAAACACAATTTCGTATACGGTAAACTATACTGTGTACATTATAGCAAAAATAACACATATCGAGATACATGGTTGCCAGCTATTCATACACAACTCCTGACAAAGACAAAAAATAAAAAATACATGATACGACTAATGCTAAATAAAGTATAAATAATTTAGCGAAAAAACAGCCGCTTACGATGAAGAACAGATCAAATCTCATGTTGTAATGATAACAGTGGAATAGTTTAGTTTTTCAATAAAAAAAATTATTTTACTCAAAAATTTCAAAAATGTCATAAAATAATTGATACAAAATTCCGCTCGGGAAGGCGCCAACATATTTTTATCCCTAGCGCAAAAATCCGACACAAAAAATACAAACTAGGGGAGTAGTATAACAGATTAATATTTGATTTGAGTGATAACTCTAAGTATATGTTAATTAAAAAAAAAAAAAATCCTATACACAACAATGCTTCGTAATTTTATTCCATTTAAATATTTAACAGACAATGAAAAATATTTTTGTTTGTTTGATAAAAAAAAAAAACCTCCTTTTGTACCATGTTGTATTACAATAGATATGTATTTTATCGGAATAAAAAAAAAATTCATAGTATTGAAATATTTATCCAACAAGGAAAAACCGTGTAGTACAATTAATTTAGCGTTAACGGCGTGCATAGGTCAATTTAATTACATATTTAATCCATAGAAAGCAAAATTTACAGGGATTACACGGAGCCCAGGAGGAAATTCGACGCCCAAACTCATTCGGTGAAACACCAGCGGCTGCACCGGACGGGTTTTCGCTATGAAATATTTTCGTCGCGCAACTATGGTAAATGCACACACACAAACAACGCGGCGTCGACGATGACGTGTACGAAGTGGAACAAAGAATGAGTGGTGGTGGGAATGGGAGGAGGGAGGGGGAAAGAGACGAGCATAGGACGAAGAGAACCCGAGGGCCCCGTCGACGACCGACCGCGTTATTAATGGCTGGCGTGCATATAATGCGTGTACTGGAGAACGATTACTATTTTACAATTGCAAGTGCGAGTACTGTTTTATTTTTCTCCTTTTTTCATATCAATGTATTTTTTTTTTCCCCGAGACTCAGGTTCTCAATCGACGTGTGTCGAATGGAATAAACGCTGCGAGTAATAATATTACAAAACGATAATTACAATTGAAGAGCGAAAAAAACACCTTTAAATCGATTACCTATTGTAATATGATGCAGGTGCACTCTAATGAAATAGCCGATCGTTTAATTAACATTAACATGCTCTACATGCGTAATGGAACTCGGTGGTGTAACATAAGATAAGGGAAACGATTTTTTTTCTTCGAAATCGTGTCCTGAAAAAATCGCTGTCGTAAACAAAATTAGAGTAAGGCAAACGTTCTCAGCTCCGCGTACAATGTCAATGACATCAGAATCGCGTTAGACAGTTTACTTTTGTGCGCGAATTACGACTGTTTACTCCAATTAATGATATCGTTGGTGTTTTCGTAGTGTCCTTGTCGCCTTTTTTGTTAATGCCGTTAACCGCAGTTTTAATTAAAAAGAAAATAGTTTCGATAACAACATCAACGGTGGTTTTTATGCACGAGAATACCACAAACGCAACTGTTCCTAATGGATGTCGTCAACATTTAATGGAAAATTACAATGTGTCATAAGAACAAACAGAATATATAAAATGTACACATAGGAAAATAGCAAATTATTCTAGGATTGTAAAAAAATGTCTACGATCCTTACGGCGAGTGTCAATAATTTATATGTCCCGTCAATATAATAAGCGCAACCCAACCTTCAAACGATCGTAAATATTGACGTCACAATTATTTTTAGGGTAAAACACATAAATAAAGTTTGCATCAGTGCGTTAATATAATAACTATACAACATTGATATTGATAATAAAACGTCAACACAAAGGAAAATGGTTGTTTTACTTCATAAGGTAAATAAGACTTGGCTTTGGTATTGTGATTCGTGAAATAATTTGTAAACGGCGTTTGTGTCAACGTTAACGTGGTAAAGTGTTGCGGCGGTTCAAACACACTGCGTGGTGGTATTTATGTAAAAACAAAATGGAAACCATATTTTAGCTACCACAGTTACTCTGCCGCGGCCGACAGTCGAAGGTAATTGTCACAAGCTCAAATAAAACAGTACACGTAAGCGAAACAGTTGTCTGGCCGGCTGCTATAAGTGTTATTGTTTCTTGTTGTGTGCATTTGGTAAGTACCGCGCGACGTTCCGCGAAATGTCCTTCGGGTTAGACGCGCGGCGATCACATTTTATATATAGACGTGTAAACTGCAAATAAATTCAAAACGCGTTTTCACTCGCGCTAATGGCGTGCCGTAATAACCACAAGTTACACCAAAAACAGATCAATAGCTGTGTCGTTCAATCGTAAAATAAAAGACTAATCTCAAATTGATTAGGACGAAGATCATCTCCAAACAAGTGTATTTGACCTCGACCCTCACGCCATCGTGTCATTACAAATACTACGATGATTATTTCAACGTGTGTAGCCTCTTGGACCGATCGGAGTTATTAAATGCGGTCCGAGATTTGAATACGATATCTCGACCAGATAAAACGATTGTACACGATAATGTAATACTATTCCGAAACGTTCATTTTTCGCATCGCAGTTGGTATTTTCTCTACACTAAAAACTAATACTTGTCGTACGGGGCTGGCTCTAGTTAACTCGTAGATACGACAATTAATCACGTGTACCTAAACTTTACTAATCGCAACGATTTTTTTTAAAAATACGTTTATAAACATTGTGTTTTTCAAGTGAAAGCGATGAACTTGACAATTTTTCTCAGCGCCGTAAAACATCGCGAGACGAGTTTAACGCGGAAATATTTTAGCTAAAAGAAATGAGATACAAACGATTTATAACCGACACAGTTATAGGTCGTACCTGTAACACAATGTATCTGCTATCCGTTAGCTGTTGAAGCGTATCGCGAACACTCGAGTTTTACAATATTAAAAAAAAACAAAATGCACTAATTATTCACTACAATTTTCGATTGACAACAAAAAACACTATCGATAAAAATACGTACGCAGATCGATTTGAAAAAAAAATCTGCTAACAATCGTTTTGTTGTGGTTACAACGGGGTCGATTTAAAATTCAACAAATTTAATCAATTGCACGAAAAACTATTGACAACAACGAACCAGTAGATGTAAGTTAAAACGCACTCACACACACACACACGCGCGAGCCGTCGGCACGGGGCAAGCAAACGACACTGAACAGGTACCTACGGCGGCAGAGCATCAACTGAGCTGAATTTTATCGCACCGTCGTGGCCGCCGCCGCCGCTGTTTCCACCACACCACTGCCGTTTGGACGTGGCGGCGATAAACGGTATTCCACACACTACAGCATTTAGTATTGTACAACGGCGAGGTACCGGAGGAAGGGCGGCGGCGGCGGTGTGACAAAGTATATATAATTGTGCGCTATAACCTATCGTAATGAAACATTGACGATCATGTCAGAAACAGCAGATTAGTAGTCGCAAAACCTACCCACGTCTCAAGTCTTCATTTTAGGCTTTTTTCTAACAACGAAATGAATTAATATAATTTTGAGTACTTGGAACAGATGAAATAGTGCGCGTGCAAAATAAAATAAAACGATTGAATTGCACAATCGGCTGTCAGTAAAACATTCGGTTGAGGTGTTCGATACATTCGATCGTTTAGCTGAATTGTTTTCGGAAATTCATATACAGCTCTAATTAAACAATTGATTACTGTATTGTGTACAGTGATATATGATCTCGTATGATTATATGCGCGCACTAACCGCGGATGATTTTTACTGATGTAGGAAGCCATAAAAAAATGGGCCCACAACAACTTATGAGGATATTGAATGTAGCGACTCGGTGGGCGTTTTAAAAACGAAAAAACACCAGTGTAACGGAAGTAACATTAAAACAAACAACACCGTTAAAAAACTAATTGAGATATCGATCAAATTGTGGTTGATGAACTCCGAGTTCAAGAAGACAATATTATTTTTTTATAATTAATTCGTTAATGTATAAAATATAATTTTGTTGTTATTCGTTACTAATATAATATTGAGTATCTACGGCGATTAACAGTAAAAAATAGATTAATTTACGAATAAATCAACACATCTGTTGATTTATATTCTTAAAATCCGATACATTTTGCAGAGCTGATATTATGTAAAAATACACAGCGTAAATATTTAAAAGCGGATAACCGAAAAGTAATTTTAAACGGAAAGGCTCTCAAATAATTAGTGTACAAAAACGAACAGGCAAAATTGAACATTTTTAACACGATCTAGACGCGTACATTATGAAAATTGGGTTTGGTGTTTTAGTGTAATGAGCAGAATAACATTGTAATAGACTTTTGTATTTATTCTCACATAACAAAAACGTCAAGGTCGTGTCTAAACGAAATCGGTGTCAATAACATTACAAAGAATGCATATTATTATTAAGTGCGCCGAATATTGTTTTATTACACCTACTGATTAGTACACTATAAAGTGGCAAGAATGCATTGACCATAGATAATTTAATTTATACTACTACATCATACAATTTTCCACTTATAAATAACCTAAAAAAATGAATCCTTTTTAAAAGGATGTTTTCTTTTTTTTATTGCCCGAGCATACTCTATAATTTTAAATACTATTTTATTTACAATAATTATACGCGTAAAAACAGCTGGAACTGAACGAAAATTCTCACTGAAAACAAAGAATGACTGGAAACTCTTTCGTGTTCAATATTTACCAACTAACCTCAACAAAAAAAGAATCTTTTAATTAAAATCGACCATTACAATTTCATTCTTTTGTTGTGTTCTACGAATTGAGTTGCTTTTATTAACAAGTCGTAACGTCGTTTTATACTACACGATTAACATTGAGTTTTTCCATAGAAACTACTATCGTGACAACAACCGATACATAAATCGAGTTTTCTGAGAATCGGAGAAATGGAAAACTGCGATTTCCATTCGGAAATGGAAACTGCCAATACGAAATAATTAGTAATTTCATAGATAAGATACGAAAACCAGCACCGCGTCTAGTCGTCTCTAAATGATTGTCGATTTATTGTTTTTGTAAAAAGGATTTAGCGAACAATGTTTTCCCGACGCATTACAACAACAGCTAATGCGGTTCTGACATCGGCACACATCATCAAGTAGGCCACAGCAGAGAGCATTGCACATACATACGCGCACATACAACTAAATACGGCCGAGGAGTGCACTGCACGAACGTCCTTGAACATGGTTCGTGCGAGATGATCGGCTTGTGTACGAGACCCCACCGTATATCTAAATGCAACCTATTCAAATGTTATGTAAATAGATATGAAGTTTGTGTTCGTAACTGCGCAGTGCTCGTCTGGAACGCGGTTAAAAAAAACTGTATCGAGGAAAATTCGTCAACGTCTCCAGCGGTCTTGGGGCTGATCGTGTGGCGTACGGCTGTCGGACGGCCATCGATACTGCGGTGTAGGTACAATAGCGGCGAATTGGCTGCAGTTGACGTTGCTCGGCGGGTAAGAGAAGGAAACATCTTGGCGACGATGCCCACGAGAAGACGGGAAATGTCGACGTCAGTACGCAATATGAATGGAAGGGCAAACAGGCGAAAGGCTATGTATAACGATTGAATTCGATCCCCTCTCCTCCCTGGCCACATTCGTTTCGCTTCGATTTTCCCGGAGCCACTGTCATCGTCGGTATCCCGAAAATTTCCACACCGTCGGGAAAATGTTCACACAGTCATCAAGTCGACGATATCGACCGAGAAACAAGTGCATTGCTTGCACACTGTGTCTCCTCAACATTTTTTAGTTGTTTAGGTCTGACCTAATTGTACAACGTCAATAACAATATGCAGTATCACGTCGAAAAGAAAACTTTACAGCATGACAAGGTCTCCCTATCAAGTGATGATGTTCTATATATAAAAAAAAAACTACCAAATAAACGCGCCGTCAGCACAACTTTTGGTTCGATATGATACGATTTGTGTGGGAAAAACAGAAAGTGTTCCAGGTATTTTGAAAATTACACTCGGATGTNACAACACAACTTTTGGTTCGATATGATACGATTTGTGTGGGAAAAACAGAAAGTGTTCCAGGTATTTTGAAAATTACACTCGGATGTCTTAAAATAATTTAATAGGCAGCTTACGCGTTTGTTTGAAGTTTCAAACATTCGATTGGAACAAGATACTACTGATTTTGCCTATCCTAAATTAATATTTAATGTAAATTATAGACAAAGTATCTTTGTTGAAATAAATATAAATGTCTATAGAAAGAGGGTAGCAGCGGCCATTGACCTATACGTTTTAAACGAGTAATATTTGCTAAATACTATTTACACTTGACATGAAATGCAAAAGTTCTAGTAACATGTTAAACCAAATGTATGGCTATGGTATTTACGTACTATTTACGCTTCGTAATTTACTTACACGATTTACAGATTTCGCGAATGCTAAGTGGGTGTTTTGAACTTGGGCGTTTGATTTGTTCGTTAACGACTCAAATTCAATCTGCACACGCTTTTTAATGAAAATAATCAACTCCTTGGACGAAATATAAAAAATCTAAAACATTTTCTTACAATCCACTGAAAAAAAAAAGTGTAGACTCGCGTATAAAAAGACATTTTAATAAATTTCAGTTGAAAAATTGTGTAATACAATTGTTGAGTTTGAGATAGTCTAAGAGAAGAACTTTTAGACAAATATTATGAGAAAAAATAATAATTATATATTAAGTACAAGGGTTGATTCGGTTAAACACTAGGCATCTGAGTATATAAATATCCAACTTAAATTAATGTTTATTATTCAGTGTAATAATATAAAACTAACTAGACAAATATTACAAATAAATACTCCAATAAAAAAAAAAAGAAGATATTTACATTACAAAACAAGCCATTAAAAACATGAAATTAGATCGATTTAGTAGTTTATCAATATTTAATACGCATTTTTTAATAACTATTATGATTCCTTAAAACTGAATCGTAATGATATCAAATAACAAAAATAAAATTATTTTGTTTTATTATTAAAATTACTAAAATACGATATTAATTTTATTAAAGACATCAATTACACTGGACAACAGCCATTTTGCTATTTAAAATATTTAGTGAAATCTATAAGGAATTTCGATGCATAATTAACAATCTGACTTTTTTCATCACATCTAGTTTCTCTTAAAATTAATAATTGAGTTTTCATTTAACAATAAAATTTTTATAAAAAAATAATTTTTTTAAAACTTTTCTAGTATAATTTGATAATGTTAAAAAAACAGAATTGTGCAAAATTAAAATTTTTGCTTGATGGGCATTTTCCAGAAAAAACGCTGAATTTTCCATGGTTACTATTTTTAGTTAATCTTATATTTATCAAAATGTCGCCAATAGATTATTTTTGTGAGAAATTCAAAAATATATATTTGTTTGTTTTTTACATGAAAATAATCGCGAAAAGCGCAATTATGAAACAAATTAACGCGAAGCTCAAAAACTCGAAAAAACTACAATTTCATTTCTATATAGTGATATTAATACATTTTTTTGTGTAGTCGTAAAGAGAATATTTAACAGTCTTATGCATTTTTTAACGCTTAAGATAATGATATAATTAGATTTGGTGAATGACACTAGGTTATTATTCAACTAATTGCAAGGAAAAAGTTACAAGATTTTACAAATTACAATTATGGACCAACTAAAATAATTGACATACGCCAAATATAATTGCGCCATTGTCCTGTAAAAAATACATAAGGCTCACAAAAAGTTTATTAATATAACTATATAGAAATAAAATTGTAGTGTTTGAGCTTTACGATTATTTTTTTTATAATTGCGCTTTTCTCAATTATTTGTAAAAAAAAAAAACAAATAAATTTATACTTTTGAATTGCTCACAAAATTATCTATAGACAGCGATTTCATAATTATAAGTTTAACCAGAAATAGTGTTACAGTGGAAAACTAAAATATTTTTTCTGAAAACTACTCATGAAACTCAAATTCAAAGGTCTATACGGTTAAACATAGCGTATAAGGACCAAATTTTGGACAAAACTCTTTTTAAAATATACTAGAAAAGATAAAAAAGCCATATTCGGAATCAGCGTCGACATTATTATTTATAGAATTAACTGTAAAGAACTGAAAATGTTTCATTATTTGTTGTCCTGTGTCATTAATAAGTAATGTATTAAAAAAGAAAACGCTT